CTCGGGGCTAGGGTTTCGTAGAGAATATGCTGAGTTTATTCTCTACCCAAATTCGTAGGGATCGAGTCGGACTGAGATAATATCTAATTAAATGATATTATCTCTTTTTATGGAGATAATATATGAGATAATGACATTATCTTCTCTTTATTAGGATAATATCTTAATTAATGATATTATCTTATTAAATAAAGATAATATCATGTTAATTAAGATATTTATCCCAATTAATTAATTGGCCAAATAAACTGGTTCAATTAATTAATTAAAAGAGATAATCTTCTTTTCCACGTGGCGCGTTGTGGTTGGAGACGAAAATATCTGCTCCCACAAACATAACAAAAGAGAGGATCCACTACCAAGACGACTTCTTACTCAAGAAGACCATAAAAAGAGTTCATTTGATGAAATATTCAAAATATTATGTGTAAGATCCCAATTCTCAGTGAAAGTTGTATATGATTGGACCGATTGCAAATGTATTGATAAACTAGTTTTGTCTTCAAGGCTTTAGTATTGGGGAGACAAAAAGAACAAGTAATATACAAAGCCACTTAGGGGACAATTATTATATCTTATCTTTGAACCCAGTTCATCATGCCAGTGGTGGAAAAATTAGTGAAACTTAGTGAAACATATTCCAACACTATGCTGCTCTCTACTTTTCAGTTAAAAATTTAACTAAAAATATATAAAAACTATTTTAGGAGTTCTCGATAAAATTTAAACTCCATGCCCTCTAATTTAGGGAGTTGTAAATGTTATAACTCTTTTTTAATTGGTTCTCGATTAAAAAATAATTTCCATTAATTAAAGGTTTAAAATACTCATAAAATAAAGCAGCATTAAATTATAGGGAGCCATTAGGAGTCCTTTCTCTCTCCTCAAATTTAAGAGCTCCTAAAAGTTTCCCAATTTTAGGAGGTGGATAGAAAGCATGGTTGCGGTTGTATTTTTCCAATTCCTCTCTAAAATTTGTCTATGGAGGTGGGTTAGGGAGCCCATTGTGGATGCTCTTACAAGGGATAATTTATCCTCTCCCTTTGTTGGTATGTGAAAAGTGAGAATCGAATCGAAGTATTTGCTAGCTTGGGGGTTGTACTTGATTTCCTTCTGTTCTATGAACTAGTGAACCTATGTGACATTAATGTAGAACAAATGAAATGGTTGTTTTATATATTCTTTCTACATCTTTTTTGGGTCATTCATTAGGGAGGGGGAGGGGGAGGGGGGAGTATTATATTGAGTTTCCTTAAGATTGTCTCATGTGTGAATTGAACCTGGATGGACTCGAGAAGGGGGGAGTTTGACCCACTCTTACACTGTGGTGCCACCTCATGTGCTATTCTTTATACTTTTTTCGATCACTTAATATGTACTTATAATCTCCTTATTTTCAATTTAAAGAATAAATAAATAAATAAAAACACAAACTTTATGAACATGAAAATTTTAAGATGGAATCCATAAGAAATAAAAAATTATGTGATTCCAAGTTAAAATCCGTTATATGTGCACTAATCTTTATTGAAATTTCTAAGATGCAGATTCCTTTACCTTAATGAATTATGCAAATCCATTTTGGTTACTTTGTATTAGAAATAGATCCATATATCCATATAATCAGGAGAGCACATGGCGACCTCATCTTCCAGCGAATGACTGTCATTACCTCCAATTTAAGGGCTCTAATGTAAATATCACGGCTTCTATCATGATGGCTTCCTGCAACATCAAATAAAGATATTTCGAAACGGAACTTTGAACTTTGAAATATATTCAGTTATTACCTGTGGTTTCAAACAAGAACTTTGAACTTCTGCATTGTTTTAATTCACAGATAGAGTAGATGGGAAGCGAATGAGTTTGTGTGTCATGTTGTTCTTCAAAAGATAAAAGCAATTAAAAGAGAAACAAACCATCTTAATAAATTTTAATAATGAAAACTCACCCAAAACTCAATCAGAGAAAATCAAAATAAAAACACAAACCGAAAATAATGCAAACCAGAGAATGTAGGTTCATCCAAGAGCAAAATGTAGGGCCTTGACATGGATATTGATGTGAAGACAACACTGGGTCTCTGCCCTCCTGATAATTTTGCAATAGGAGTAAGATGGTTGTGGCTAGGGAGTCCATATTTTCCGAGCTTTTAGCCGACAGCCTTTTTCTTGCTGAGTCCTTCTTGGTCTGGATGAAGACGAAGAACGCACTGCACTTTGGACATTTCGACAGGGGATAAGGGTTTCCAACTTTCCATTTGTTTTGGCAATGATCTTAACTTCACACATCTGAAGATACATACATCCCCTTCAATTTGGTTGCATCCCTCCATGGAGAAAACAAGCAAAATTTGGGCATTTCGAATTGCTCAAGCCAGAGAGGAAGAGGAACTTTGCACATTTAGATTCTTCATGTCTTAGAAGTCATGTCCAACCACAAAATCCAATAGCGTCTATTCAGTATGAGCCAGAGACACCATGAAGACTGCCAGCTCCACAACAATTCCAACATAGAACTTCCTATGAAGGAACTGTGAAACAAAATCAGTGCTCACAGCAGCCACAAAGTTTGAAACCACTGTGAAGCTGGTCTACTGCAAAGAATATTTGATTTTAAAAAAACTGTGCATGTTAAACTTTTGTGTACTTTTGCAGTAAACTATGTTTTTAATTTCTAAACTCATATAACATTCAATTTGAATTAAGAAATCATCTTGTATGGGCATAACAAGTACTTGTTTTCTACATTAATAGATTGAACAGGAGGATGACATAATGCAAAGTCAAAAGCATCTTGCTGGTTAACCTGTGAGTGTTGCCAAACAGTTGCTGCTCACGATCCAACGGCCTATGATGCAAAATGAATTCCAGGTACTTTCTGTATTGAAGGCTCTTTGAGTTAAAGGTGATTGCCATCTAGGGGTGAGCATCGAGATTGGAAAATTGGAACATCAAGCCGCACTAGATGGAAAAAAACCTGAAAATAACCGTGTTGACTAAAAAGTCAACAAACCGACACCAAATCGGATCGGACTGGTTCAAACCGATTTCAATGTCGGTTTCATACCTTGCAAAACCGGATCAGACCGGACCAAACGGGCTGCATATTTTTTTATAAAAATTATTTAAGTCCAATGCTAAATTTCTAATCCCATAACTCATACTTCCCCAAGCCCAACTTCAAATCATCTTTCTTTTCTAGACCCAATCATTTCTCTTTGCATGAAATTGGATTATTTACGAATTTGTAAGCCCAAAAAATAACAATTTTGTTGGAATTTGTTGAAAAAAATAAATTCTAGTCCGAAACTGGAAAAATGGAGAATTGCTCTGAAATCAGTTTAAACCAGACCGACTGGTTTCATAAATTTTTTTTCACCAAAATTAGACCGAACCACACTAGTTAAATAGTGCCGATTCCAATGTGAGGTAAAAATCAGACCGGACCGTACCCTAGACACACAAACATTACACTACTACAGTGTCATGAAGGTTTGAACCTGAGACCACTAGTCTGCAAGTCAAAACCATTTTCCATTGAACTAGACCCGTTAGTAAAAAAACAAAAGTATTTTTAAAAAATATGTAAGTACGTCCATAATATTAGTATTAGCAAATTTACTAAATAAAGTATTGTCGATTGACTTGAGCAAAATCTCTTCTTTTTTTTTTCTTTTTTTTTTTGCCAAGCGAGATAAATATCATTGCTATATGACGAAAGACTCAATTACAATAGTCACAAAGGCAATCAATCACTTGAACCCATATTCAAACCCAAACAAGGACCCAATACAGGTTTCAATGGGGTACAAAAGATAATCACAGCTACGGTACACCCCCTGTCAATGGGGTACAAAAAATAAGCACAAATACTCCCCCAATAATAACCCTAAGGAATCGAATCTATCAGCAAACCAATGTCACATGGCTTTACTCTAGCGACTTTTTCCCGAAAAATTGAAAAACGCCCCAAGACACAGCTTGAGTCACATCTCATTTAGCCGTTGCAACTACACCATCACAATTGGTTTTGTTTTTTGTTTTTTTTTTTCAAACCATCACAATTGCTGCCACATTATAACCATGGAATATTGTATCAAAATTCACTTTTTATTTTTATTTAATATCTAAAATCACAATTATGGAAAGGAAAACTTTTGGTGTTTATTTGGGTAAAATTGTTGTTTGGTTGAAAATTATAATTTTTTGCTTTTTTTTAACCCTCATAATAGAACGGCAAAAAGTCATTTCTAGTCTTTGTAGTTTGCCGATTTTACCACTTGGGAACTTATAGTTTCAATTTTTGCAATTTTATCCTTATAGTTTTCAATTTTATCAATTTTATCCTTGTAGTTTTCAAGTCAAAGCAATTCAAGGACGCATTCAATTTCTATCATTATTCCTCTCAATTCTATTAAGTTATGATCACGTGTCACTCACATAGAGGGGTATTTTGGTCAACTCGAGCCAAATTCCTCCAAAACTCCTTCCAATTTGCCCAAATTTCAACCTAGATAAGTAAATTTGTTAGACACACTAAGGCCCAAAATTGCGCTAAAGTGAATGGGAAGAACTCTAGGTTGTGTTTTATTGTTAGATGGCTCGAGTGAACCTCAATATGAGGGACACATGAAGAAATTTGGAGGAATTTGATAAAAATTGAAATTACAAAGATAAAATTAACAAAATTAAAACTTTAGAGACCAAAATAGTACAATCGACAAACTACAGGACCGAAAGTAAACTTTTGCCAAATCTAACAACGCTATGCTCGTGTGAAGTCTCGGCCGATCAAAAGCAACGACTTCTTCCATGAAAAAGTGAGACAGTCGAGAAATTATTATTGACGACGTCGCCACCCCACCTTCGCCCCTCAACCACCGCCAACCACCGCCAACCACAACCCACACATACGCTCTCTCTCTCTCCAGGTGAGCTCTTACATCTTCCTCCTCACCTTTCTCTTTTCGATAGAATTTTCTGTTTACAGGCTGTGCTTTTGATTTGGGGGTCTTTCGAGGTTGGTTTTTGGTTACTAATTTTCGGTTTCAGGGTTTTTGGATGTTTTTTTCGGTTACTAATTAAATAGGACTGTGCTAAATTGAACCTGAAGCCCATGTTTGGTTAGAAAGGGGACTAATTTGAATGGGATTGTAGAATCCAATAGTAACAAAAACCCCTCACTCGTTCTCCTTATACAGAGAAATAAGCGCTTCGCTATATTGAACACGCGACTCCGCCTCTCTCTCTGGTTCGCGACTTCGCCCTCTCTCTCGTTTGCGACTCCACCTCTTCTTCGTTCAACATCGACTCCTCTTCTTCGAATCTTGACCCAGGCAAGTTTTTCTGGTCTTTCCCTTTGGATACCTCTCTTTTCCTTCTTCCACCTCTTTGATTTTTGCAATAATGAACTCTGTTTCGACTTCTACTTCAGTTCTTCTCCTTTTTTTGATTTTTGTTTTTGTGGAATGGGTGGATGCTGATGGAAGCTGAGCTTTTCAGTTATGGCTACTACTTCCGTGGGTATTTGCTGCTGGGTTTTGTAGTTTGATTTCGGCTGCTGCTTCTTTTTGTTTGTGTGCCGTGCATTTCGATATCAGTCCCACCGCATTTGCATTCTATTATTCCACATTTTAAAATTTTTGTCTGTTTCTTGTTCTGTTTGGCTTTAATGTTTTTGGTGCTTGCTTCCATAATTTATAAGATGGTATAATTCTGCATAAGAGAATCCTTAGTTACAGGGCATGACATAATATTAATAGGTTGAACTTGTAGTGTTTTGAAAATTTTCCTAAATCTACAATGATCGTACCAATGAACACATTCCTTTTCCTATATTTCTGTACTTTTTTTTTAACACATTCCTTTCTTTCTTTTTTTTATACTTTTTTGTTTTGGCTAAATTTTGTTTCTAGAACACCTGAATGTTCTTCAGCATTTGCCCCAGTTGTAATTATGGTTTTGGTTGTTTCCTTTATAAACACACAGATGGAGGGCCGTTTTGCTGATGAGCTCTACTCTGAAAGTTTACAGCTATCAAAACTACAATTGGATCCTACATCCAATGCGAACAGTGAACAAAGTAATTTACGTGGTATTTAAATGGTTAAAAGCACTTTGTTTTTCCGTATAATAGTGATCAATAGATTATATTTGGTTTGCCTCATTTTTTTCTTCTTGTTATTGCCAGCCTTAGGTAGGTAAATGCATAGTGTTAACTGGTGAACCCACTTAGGTTTTAAAAAAAACAAAAAAAAAACCATATTGTTTATTAGAGCCTAAACAACATTGTGTAATTTGAGCCTCTGCTATAGATTCCTTCATTCTTTGCTACAATAAGGATACTTGGCGAGCTACATAAATCTTTGTTTTCCTTAAAGCTTATCACATTCAAGACACTCTGGATAAAGTGTATTCTTATATTTGCATCTAAAAATTTACATCTACCCTGTAAGACTGTAGTAAATGTACATCAAAGAACTCCTTTTAAACAAAACACATCTATGCTCTGTGAAGTGGACACACTGTAGTAAATTTACATGCATATGCGCTCTGTGAAGTGGGTATTCTGTCTGATACTAGTTGACTGAGGAAGTTAATACTTACAACGAAGTGAACTGCTGTAGTCTTGCTGTTTTCTGTACTAAGAAATCTGTTTAATGTTTTGCAGACCTTGATAGGGTTGAGTTGTGTCATGGAGATGGTTCTTGTGATGGTTTTTCTGATGAATTAGATGACACATCTGAGGTGATGGGGGAATGGATGAAGATAGAGGAGAAAACAAGATATAATCAACACCATACGGTTGTTTGACAGTTTGGATTTAATTTCATTTTTAGTTGTGTTTAGTTGTTTTACCTGCATAATTCAAGTGGTTCTCAAATATATATTCTAACTACTTATAAATATGTAGGTGGGTTACCGTGAGGGTGTTATAGCAGGAAAAGAAGCTTCTTCGCAAGAGGGATTCAATATCGGCTTTAAGCAATCGGTCCTTGTTGGGTACAACTGGGGTCTTGTCAGAGGTGTTACGAGGTAGAAAAATAATGTAAAGAAAAGAATTTTGTTACAGTAATTTCTCTCTTGCAGAAGTATTATTTGGAATTTATGTATATCTTATATTAACTATGTTTTCGTTACCCATGCTGGTGTATCTTCAACCTATATGAAGTGCTTTGGCTAACCTTCCAGATGGTTTAAGGGAGAAGTTGATTGGAACAGAAGACCAAATAACTGGATTGCAGGGATTGTATGAATCTGTGCATTCTCTTTCAACAACAGACGCCCTTAGATTATTTAATGATGAAATCATGGACAAAAAAGCTAGAGAACAGAGTGAGAATGCTGACACCAGTTCCCTTGAAGCTGGTTTACCAGAGCAAATACCAGACCGTAGTGGTCTAAGAAATCACTATGCAGAACTACGTTCACTTTTGTTTGAATCTCCTGCAATTAAAGTACATCTAGATAGATAGGAAATTAGTGTTCTAATATTTATTTGATATTTGTAATTAAAAGTCTGAAAATTTTTGCTCCGCCACAAGCTGCTGGTCGTATTCTGTCATAGGAATTATACATTTGAGAAACATT